GCAGGGATGGGGGAAGGGGGGCGGGGCCCCAGCCGTAACCGCAGGCCAAGGCGCGGCCCAGACCCTGCTGGGAGACGCTGAGGATGCTGAGGTCCAGGCTGAGGCCCTCCCCGCCCACGCTGGTTTCCTTTTCTCGCGTATGTTTTGCTTGTTTCTAGTTTTTGCTGTCGGTTGTGTGTGCTCACCAGAGACAGAAAGAGAGACAGAGGAGAGTGAGAAGCCACCCTGGGGTGGGGACATGTGGCACCCCTCCTCCATCCTCCTCTCAGACTGGGGCGCACACGCACACGCACTCGGGGGTTTCCAAGCCACTGGGCCCAAGACTTGGACGGCGGTGCAGCCCACACGGGGCGCAGCGACCTCGATCAGCAGGCCGCACGCCAGTACTTCTGGCCGCTTTTCCTGAAAGCTCTCTGCCACAGGGCACGTGCACTCGCCAGAGAGACAGGGAAGAGACATGATGGGAATCACTGCCGGGTGGCCACACGGCAACCCCTTCCCCCCACTCTCCGCTCAGGACCGTGGGCATGTGTGCCCATGCACCAACCTGGATTTTCGAGTTGCCAGCCCGGCCTGGGACTTGAACCATGGTTCACTACATGGGAGTCCAGCACCTTAACCCTTGTGCCACCTGCAGGCCCTCCTCACGTACACCCTTCAAGCATCCCTTTCACCTCCCTGGTAGCGTGGCCACGCCTGGCAGACAGCAGCCTCTGCCCGTGCCTCTAGCCTGGCCTTGTCCCCAAGCCCCCCAGGTGGCCCTGGCTCTGGCAGTCGGCTCAATGACGCCTGTGCCCACGCGGCCAGTGGAGTGTGTGAACTCCCAGGGGCAGGGGCTCCCACAGAGGGGAGTCACAAGCACGGGGCGTGACCCCAGGGCCAGCACTGGCAGCAGGAAGGCAAGTGTGAGAGGTGGGAGCCGCGTGGAAGGCGTCTGAGGGGCGCTGGACGAGTGCGTTCCAGTGCGAGAGCCCCGGGTTCCAAGCAGAAGCCCCACAGCAGGCAAGGAGGAGCATGCTGTCTCCAGGGAAATGGGGGCGAGGGCGAAGAGACGGGGCAGGGAGGCTGAGGCGAGGAAGCTCGTCTTCACTCTGACGTGTCTAGCAGGGCCCTAGCAGGTGCACGTGCCCTGAGCGGACGGTCCTGTGAACATGGACGCAGCAGGCTGGGCTGCGGCTGGGCCTTGCAGTGAGGGCCAAGCTCAGAGGATGGGTGGGTTTGGACTCCATGAAGCACGCTTGGTGCATCTTGGCCCCCGTTCAGCCTGACCCTGCCTCACCTGGCCCCAAGTTGCTTCAACTACCACCTCTGTGTCAGAGTGTTTGATTCCCAACTACTCCCCTCACAGCACAGCCCCGCTGCTGGCAGAACCAGCGTCCCACTGCTGTGGGCGTGTCAGGCTGGCCCCTGCAGAGAGCCCTGCTCTGCCCCGCGCGCCCCTCACAAAGGCCTGCCAATGAGGGCCTCTCTGCAGTGCTCGCTGTCCCCGTGGGGCCTGCCTCTGACTGCCCGTGGTCTCCTCCACTCAGGACTCTGCTCAGAAGTCCCCCTCCAGGGAGGACACAACAGAAAGCCAAGACCAAAGCATTTGTGGTCGCCCGAATCATACTGCCTCCCACCTGTAGGGAGCCGCGGCTGCTCTCCTGCCGCCCTGCTTCTGTGCACTGCTGAGGCTTGGTAGCCTTGGGAGCTCTGCAAGGCCAGGCTCGGACACAGGCACAGCGAGCACCGAGCCGGGCCTCCGCCCCGGCCAGGCGCCAGTACCCAGGAGTACATGCATGCCGCCAGTAACTGCTCGTCCATGTCCCAAGGGACAGTGGTCAGGGAGGACACAGGGACACATGTCCACATCACACGCCTGACTCTGCTCCACCCCCAACACCATGGCCCTGACACTGCCCCTCTGCGCTACGGGAGCCTGACACAGCTGCAGAATGCAGACAGCAGGTATGCGTGGGACAGGCCTGGCCAGCAGGGGACAGCAGTTTCCAGGCTGTCCCGGCCACAGGTGCCGAGCAGGCACTGACCTCAGTTCCTCCAGCCTCCCTGCCACCCCGCTGGACCCGGCAGGCTGCAGGAAAGCACACCAGCCGCTTGCTCATGGTGCCCACACCTCAGGAGGGTGTGGGCTGTGGTTCCTCCTGGGCTTTCTGACCCTGGTTGCCGGTCACCAGACTCCCAGTCCCTCCCACCCTGGCTACTCCTTAGCACCAACACAGTATTGCTCACTGTCCCATCAACAGCTGCGAGTGACAGACCCGGAGTCGGGTGCTGGCCGGGCAAGAGCCTGAGGGGGGGGAGCCACACCAGTGACTCTCGGCCTCCGGGGCTCTTCCCCACCGCGGGCTCCTGCTGCACGCCGCCCTAGAGGCCGCCCCTGCAACCCGGGCTGGGCCTTCCTCGCAGTGTACTGAAGATCCAGACTCCAGAGCTGGTCACGCTGGTGTAGGCCAGGCCTGAGCTCAGTGACATGTGGTGTCATCAGACACAGATGACAGAGAAAGGCCTCCTGAGGAAAGGCAGAGGCCTGCCAGTGCAGTTCAAGTCCCGGACCCAGCGGCTGGAAAACATGCTGGGAGTGCGTGTGGGCATCCCTCAAATCCCAAAGCAGGGGAGACAGGAGGGACTGCCACGTGACCGTCCCCCAGGGGTCGCTTTCCCCTCTTGCTCTCCCAGTCTGCCTCACACGTGCCCTCCGACGGGGCAGAGGTGGCGCAATGGGACCACGGCCAAGGCACACTCAGAGTCAGCCCCGGCTCAGTCTCCAGAGGGCCCAGCCCAGCACCGCCAGACCACATGCCCCGACCCCAAATGCCAGGAGGATGTTTCTGCCCCCACGCCCTCGCTGCAAGCTCAGCGACTTGCTGGGGGGGGCTGCGAGAAGTGCAGGCGAGGCATCAGCCCCCGGCTCTAGTCCACGTGTGGGGTGCAGACAGGACAGGGCTGCCCGGCCCTGCATGCCTGGCCGGGTACCACGTTGCTGCTCCCACCCCGGCCCCACCGTCAGCCCACACTGAGACGGACACCTGGGGCTGGGGCCACTCGGCTCAGGGATGGTTGCCAGCAAGCACCCCGTGGTGCCCCGTTCCACGTGCGTGGGGGGGTGAGGGGTCCTTCCCGCAGAAGGCCCACCAGTCCCCTGGCCTCCGCTGCCGCGCTGCAGTGGCGACATGGAGTCACACTGAGACGGAGGGTGCCGACCACGCCCGGTTCTGCAGCGCCACGGGGCCACTCACCTGCCAGGTGCGAACCTGGACTCGGTTGGGCTCCACCGTGTACACGTTTTCTTCGTGCAGTGCCAGCACGGGAGACTCGCACAGAAAGGTACCTGAGACGGGGACAGGCGTCAGGTGGCAGCAGCCGGCCCCTTGCCCCCAGCTCACTGCGGGATGAGCTGCCTGCTCTCTGCAGACCAGGAAAGTGAGGCTGAGGCCGGGGCCAGGGCCAGCGTGCTGGCCGTGCAGGTGGGCTTGGGCGGCCGAGTGGGGCTCCTGCCGGCCCTCACCATCCTCCTGCTTAGTCGCGGGCCGCCAGCATGGCGCTCGACCAGGGTCTGCGGCACGTGTGGGACTTTGGGGCGCGGACTGTCTCCAGCTCTCAGGAAGCCCGTGTTTAAGGCTGGCTTTTTGTTTGCTGTAAAGTCCTTCTGTTTATCTGAGAGGGAGGTGCCCCTAACACAGTCTTCGTGCCTCGGTCCACACCCAGCCTCAGCTGGCCCAGATCCCAGGCACAGACGTGCTGAACACGTACGGGGAGGCCTCGGACACGACCCTGGGTCTCCCGTGTGGGTGGGGCACTTCCCCTTGTTGTGCTGCTGCTGAGCCGGCCCTCGAGGTGCCCTTGGAGGTAGGAGCTAGGTCGGGAGACGCACACCAGCAGCAGGGCCAGCTCCCTGGCCTGGTGGTTAAGGCAGCTGGATCCCATGTGGCGGGGTGTGCTTTTCCAGCCCGTCCTGGCAGCTTAAGAAACAGCGGGAGGGGTGGGGGAGCAGGATGGCTGTGGCCGTGGCCATGGCCCACAGGGCGTCCTCCCCGACGTGTGTGTGCGCCCTCTAGCAGGAGCAAATCAACCAGAGCCCCCAGCCTCTGCCCTGCAGGCCCCTGGGCAGTCTACGCAGGAGACGGGTCACCAGGACACGCGAGGGCCTGGAGGGAATGACAGGGCTCCTGGCCACAATGCTCAGTGGAGGGCAGGGCACCCCGGGCTTCTGAGAGGAAGGAGCTGCCCCAACAACAGCCCTGGGCACTGCATGAGCCTGGGGGTCGGGGGTGGGGTGGGGTGGGCAGCAAGAGGATGGGAAGGGCCCTGTTGGCGGGGCTGCTGCCCCCTGTCACCTGTGCTACCTCAGAAGGTGGCAGTTGTGCAGGTCTCGTGGGGGGACACCACCCCGGACAAGCCCACTGGGCCCCAAACGCAATCCCGAGGGTCCCGGAACAGGCTGGGCCCCGCCCAGGAGGGCCTCAGGAAAGCACTCGGGCGTTTACATCTGGGCTGCTCAGTGGCTGGGCGTGGCAGGCCCTGGCCCTGGCCGGCCCCTCGGCCACCTGAGGGCCTCGCGGCGGCCTGGGAGGCCCAGCAGCCATGCTGCCTTCCGATGGGCCGATGGGCACGGGTAGGCGGAGAACGGTGTGGCCCGAGCGCACGGTGAGGACAGCGCCTTGTCAGGGATGCCGTGGGGCTGCGCCGAGGACCTCACCTGCACTGCGGAACGTGGCTCCGGAGGGCTCGAAGATGGCCACCTGCTTCCCACTCCAGACAGCGACGGCATCCTGGGATGACGCCGGCGGGTGTCGGAAAGTAGAGGCTGAGGGCAGGCTTGGTGGAGGGGCTCCGCGCTCCGAGGCCTCCCCTCCCCTGCCTGAGCACTGCCACGCCCTCGCCCCAGTCACTGTGTCCTCCACAGACACGGGTCCACATTCTGCTACGAGACCCCAGAACGGGACCAGCACGGGGCGTGGGGGGCACTCCCACATGGCCGACCGCGGTTTCAGTCCCAGACCTGGTGGCTTGCTATCTCACTTTCCCTCTGTCTCTCACGGTGACGCTCTTTTTGATCAAATTAAAATAAATGAATAAATAAATACAATTAAGTAAGTAACTCTTAAAAAAACCCAAAAGACCGGGACCAGCCACTGGCACAATGGCTATGTCACTGGACTCCCACGTAGTTGACTACAATTCGTGTCCTGGACTCGGTGGCTTACACTCACACTGGGCGTGTGTGCGTGTGTGCCCAAGATCCCAAGAGGAGAATGGAGGAGAAGGGATTGCGGCGTGGCCATCCCCCCTGGGGGTGATTTCTCGCTTTCTGTCTCTCTGTCTCTCTCTGTCTTTCTGGCAAGTGTACGTGCCCTATAGCAAAAATCTCTCAAAAACAAAACCCAAAAAATCCCCCACACCCAAATCGCTAGGCTGGGGCTGTTCCTGCTGCCTAGTGGTTAAGGGAGCCAGGTCCCATCGTGGCTAGCCACAGTCGGAGTCCCAGCTCTGGCGGACTGGAAACGACACCAGGTGCGTGTGCCTACTGAGAGCAGGGCACTGGCGTGGCCCCCACTGTGGGGCTCCCTCCCTCGCCCTCAGTCGCTCTCCGGTAAGCACACCTGTCCTCCGGTAAATTAAACAAAGCCCTGCGAGGGGTCATAATTATTTCTGTTACATGTGTAATGTGGATGCAGTGCAGGAAGTGAGGGAGCCAGGGAGGGCAGGAGGCCCACGGCCCTCCAGGCACTTGCCCCCGACCGTCCCGCGACCAGGCAGAAACCCCCCGCATCCACTCAGCAGCACCTTGGTGGCGAACACCCCGCTGACGTGCATGTCTGTGCGCAGGCTGTGTGTTGTCCCCGAGGACAGGAAGGACACGCTGAGCAAGCTGGGGGACACCTGCACGACGGCCACTTGCTGGTGGAAGTGTGACGCCACGGCCCGCTCGCTGAGGACTGCCACGGAGCTGGTGGTGTTCACTGCCAGGAGGCCCTTCCTGGAAGCCCACTTGCGGTGCGTGTGGGAGGAAGAAGCACGTGTGAGAAGGTGGAGAGCTCACTTGCACCAGGGCCCGTGGGCCTGTCAGGCACACTGACCACGCGAGGCCCTCTGCCACTTCCCATGCCCACTTCTGACACTCAGGGGCTGTGAGCCGCAGAACGCCCGCCACGCTCCACCCACCGGTGTCTCTGACTGGGCAGGCACCTAGGACTGGCCTCTTGGGCATGACTGGGAGGCTCATTTTTATAAACGCGCCGTGGGTGACACGACCCACCTTCCTCGGCAGAGGAGGAATGCC